TACAAATTAACTCACTTCAAGTGGTGCTCTCTCCAGCCAAAAAACTCTAAGATCTGTCCATATTAAAATCAACAGGCACTTTTGTGAGTGCTTAGAAACTCCTTCATTAAGGAGACTTTGACAGCCTCATGTCATGCCTCCTAGAGTCTTGGACCACATATTATGGCCATAAGTTGCCCAAGAGCTTCTGATAGACTGAACCTTTTAGCTTCATGCTGTACATCATTAGAACAACAAATTACTAGCTATATCCTGGGGTATCTCAGAGATAAAGGCTCTCAGAGACCCTAAGCCTATGGCCCTCCACATGCAGATGCCCATTATACTTGGGTCGTGGAAACAACACCTCACAAACTTCACTAGCTACCAGTGCCTCTTTAATATAGGATGGAGCCAAACCTGGGATCTCTGGCCTAATCCACCTGCAGTGGTGGGGTGGCCTCCCCTGTCCCCAGTCCATTGCCAAATACCATGGTGCAAGAGGAGGCCACCTCTCCTCAAGACCCCCGAACTGCCTGGAGAGTCCCTTGGGATTAGTCAAATGAACAACAATAGGAGTTTGTTGGCACTACTATTCATCATAAAGATGATATAACTTGGTGGGATGTTGGTGTTTCCATCCCTCATTCGGGAGGTCTTTGATTAAAGGATGAGACCCAAACAAAAGTCAACAAAATTGGCCAAACTTCAGGTAGTCATTTTAGCACTGGATGCTTCTGCCAAAAAAGAGTCCTATTCATTTATTATGAACTACGGAGACATTCCTTAAGAGCTGACCCCTTCAAAGAACTCCAGGAATCTCTTGCTCACAGATGCTCAAAATATAAATTTAAAAATATAAATAAAAATCCTACATCTCAGGGTGTCTGCATGGTGCAGTCTTAAACAGACCTTTGGTTTGGACTCATGTCTTGATCTCAGGGTCATAAGATCGAGCCCCACATTGGGCTCCTTGCTCAGCATGGTGTCTGCCTAAGACTCTCTCCCTCTCCTTTTGCCCCCCCCCCATAAATAAATATTTTAAAAAATCACATGTCTCTATATATACTAACACTGTGATACAAGGATTTGCCAGGACATTCCTCTTTCCCTTCAAAGTAGAAGACAGTACTAGTTGTATCCAAAGCACAGGTTTTATCTTTCAAAATACACAATTCTGGGAGAGACATAATTGTCTTCTCAAACAATTCCTCTTCAAGTTCTGGTCCAGCAAGTGGACCCTTAAATGGACTTCTAACAAGCACCTTAAGGAGCAATTGGGATGGAAAATTAGTGGGGTATATAACTGAAGGCAAACCTGAGGCAATGGTGTTGTGAGTTGGAGTTGGCTGAAATTGAATATATCAGCAAAGTAAGCATGTAAGGTGGGGTACAGGCAATTGGAGACCAAATGACAAGTCTGGCAATTTCTGATTCCCACTGTGTGGGTAGGCTTCTTGGGTAAATCAGTTTAACCAGAACCCTTCATCATCTGTAACTGATCACTCTGGATATCTGATTGGTTTTTTATCCTCCAGGTGATGTTTGATCACCTTGGCCTGTCTTTAACAAGATTCTTGTTAGGTTGATTTAGCCTAAGTCCTCCTTAACCCTGATGTTTCCTCTTAGTAATTTTCCATCCACTGACCCCAACCCTGCTCTTTGACTATAAATTCCTACTGCCCATGCTGCATTTAGAATTTAGCCTGGTTGTGTATCGAGATCTCTTTTTCCCTACTGCCACAGCCCTGAATAAAATCTGTTTGCTTATTTGTTTGTTTTTGGCTTCACTGTCCAGCTCTGTTTCTTCCTTGACAAAACAATTATTTGGCCATATTTCCATGAGTAAGTGCTGTTCTGTTCTAGATAATCCCACTTCTGATGTCAGTTGATTTGGAGATCCCAAGACCATCCTTGGGTTCAGTGATTTGTTAGGAAGTTTTATAGGACTCAGCATACAGTCATACTCATAGCTAAAATTTTTCCAGCAAAATTAGCAAGGGGGAATAGTTCATGGCCAATGTCCAGAGGAAAATGTACATAAGCTTCCAAAGGTTCTCTTCCAGTGAAGTCACATAGGATGTGCTTAATAACTCCAGCAATGAACTATGATAGCACATGTGGAATGTTTTCCACCATGTAAGGTCATTAGAATCTCTGTGCTCACAGTTTTTATGGGGGCTGGTTATGTATGTCCCTCTGCCTGACACATACTAAAATTCCAGATTCTCAGAAGGAAAGTAGGTGTTCAGCATAAACCATATAGTTTGTACAAAGAAATTTAGGTGCACGGTAAGCCACTTTTTAAAAAAAAGATTTTATTTGTTTATTTGACAAGGTAGAGAGAGGGAGAGCATAAGGAGGGACAGCAGCAGGCAGAGGGAGAGGGAGAAGCAGGCCCCCCGCTGATCAGGGAGCCTGATGCAGGACTCGATCCCAGGACCCTGAGATCATGACCTGAGCCGAAGGCAGTCACCTAACCAATTGCACCTCCCAGGCGCCCACATGTAAGCCACTTTTATCAGGTAGACTTGTAGGAACACGTGAGAAGTCCAAGTTCTCAAGTCTTTTCAAAACCCAAGTTCCCAGGTACTAGCCATGGGCAAACCTTATAAGCAGGCCTTCTAAGGACAGCCGTTTCCATCCACTTAAATGATAATATGACTTCAACACATTTTTAGTTTGCAAGTTTGCAATGCTTTCAATGATTCAGCCTTTTTGTGGTTATGAATTCTGACGTAATGCAGTTATGAGATTATTGTTTCAATTTTTGAAGTACTTGGTATTATCTGTTTTTATCTGCATATATTTGAATCCTAAAATGCCAAAATGCAAGTGTAAATCATGCGATGGATTTTCTAAAAGGTGGACATTGATTAAGCAAGGAAAAATTTCCTTTGAAGGTTTCTGTCCAGGATGCAAAGATAGCAGTCAGGTATAAACCAGCATATACTAATAGTTTAACCTAAGAGTTGTATTATTTCCTCAACTAGTTCTATAGAAAGTGACAAAATAAATTTACTATTACAAGGAATTCAGATTGAGATACAGTAATTTTAGCAGAAGTTGTAAGCACCCTGTATGCTGTACATCATCAACAGTCTCTCAGCTTAGATAGACTGTTTGAATGTACTGCTGACAGAAGTGTTTTCTGATTCTGAAGTTGCAATCAGAATTTCAGGTGCCAGGATGAAATTAACAACAAAAATAATAGTTCCACTTATGATTACAGAGATTATCGAGGATCAAATGGTGCCACGTTTTTACAGCATCGCCATGGATTCAAGTAATTACAATATAGAAAATAAATATTTTCTCTTTGCTTCTGTGCTGCTTTTGGTGGAGCTATAATAATTCCTATATATACCTATACTAATACAGATTTTGGTGGATGTTTGCATAAAGGTGCAGACATGTTTATTCCAAGTTGAAACAAAGCACGAATGATTCTATGGAAGATGTGGACTGTAGGCTGTCATATGCCTCTATGCATGATACTTGCTGTTCAAATAGCTTTTGATATTCTCTCTATACACGTTGAAGTAATTGAATTTATGCTGTGTTTGAGTTGAGTGACTAAGAGAGTTATGTGATTTTTGTTGACATCCAGTATTCTTCACTTCTCTTGCATTCAGGAACCCACTGGCTCTCTTTAACAAACACAGTTAAGAGAGTTCTGTTTATTTAAAGTACTGAAATCATATTTCAATTCTCAAGAAAATGTCCCAGTATTCTTGTTGACTATTTTTTCTTGTTGTCTTTTTAAATAATCCATTGAGTGAAACTAATTTGCTTATCTCTTGTTTATAGTTTTCAGTATCTTCTTAGCAACAGGATTATGGAAACTGAAAGAAAAGCAAAAAGTATTATTAAATATTCCAGTTTTCAGTGGAACCTGAAAGCATCAAATGAAGAATTGATGAAATCTTCGTGTCAAGCTTGTTCTTAAAAGGGAAAACAATGCTTATAAATAGGAAAATAAATTGACTTGTGGATAATCATCATTGTACTTGCCATGACTGTCTTTTGAAATGAGTTTCATCTCTTGCAGAATTTGATTTTTTTTTTTTTTTTTACATAAATGTTACTAAGTGCTTTTCCAGCATGGGAACAAGTGAATTATCACGTGTAGTTTTAAAGAGGAAGGGAAAAATTATCAAAGATAAAAAAAAGTTCTCTTGTCAGTGGACATTTTTTAAAAGTCATTAATCAAGAGAGCCAATGTAATTTTGAAGAATGGAAAAGGCAAATTATGCCATGAAAGACGGTATTATGTATTTCTGCAATCAGATTTTGAAGAGCAATTCCCAGTGTTAACTTCATGCCACACATAATGCTAAATCGGGTGTGTTTTCTCATCAGTGAACGTCCAGAAGGACGAAACGAAATGCGAGAGACATGGATACTGTTTAAGATACGTTACAATGTAAACGGAACACAGACTGTCTCTGGAAGAAATTCTGCAAGTGCATTCTGCAAAACAAGGAACTGCTAGGAGAGCCCATCTATCAGAGAAAAAAACTAATGAATAGGTATGTATTTAGATACTTAAAAAATTTCCGGTAAAGAACGAATAAAAATAGGGGCGCCTGGGTGGCTCAGTGGGTTGAAGCCTCTGCCTTCCGCTGGGGTCATGGTCCTAGGGTCCTGGGATCGGGCCCTGCATCGGGTTCTCTGCTCAGCAGGGAGCCGGCTTCCCCTCCTCTCTCTCTGCCTGCCTCTCTGCCTAGGCACTTGTGATCTGTCAAATAAATAAAATCTTAAAAAATAAAGAAATAAAAATAAAAATAAAACTGTATTACCAGTAGGTCCCCTGCTTATACCTTATTTGCTAAATCAAGCAGTTCTACCCAACATCCCCCAAGTCTGAAGGCCGTATTCCAGCGAGGCGGCGCAGGTATTCGGGAAACTTGGTCTGCGCCGTGTGGCTGGACGCGGGAGTCGCTTCTGGCCTTCTGCGCATGTGCGCTGCGCCCCTCCCGTCTAGTTCGCGTCGGCGGCCGCGGCCTCGCGAGAAGACCGTCCCGGATGCTTCCGCGCCTGGGAGCGCGGCCGCAGGTGGGGAATGCGTGGCCGGTGAGCCCCGGGGGCTTGGGTGTGGGTGAACCTTTAAACGGGGGGTTCCCCGCGGAGGGGCCGGTGACGGAGGAAGAGGCTTTGGTGCCTGAGCTCGGGGTGAGTCCTGCTCCGTCTTCATGCATCGAATGAGAACAAGCACGTCCCAGCGCTTGTTACCGAGCGAAGCTTGGTATTTTCTTCTCCGACGTGAGGGCTCGGCCGAGGCCTCGGTAAGACCGGCGGAAAACCGGCCTCGGGGCGCTAGTCGCCGGGCGCTTCTCTTTTGGGGGGGAACGCTGTTCTTCTCCACTCACGGTTCCTCTTCGTCTTCCAGTTCACCTGTGGTCAGTGTAGCGTCCCCATGGCAACCGCGTGCCGGGCCCGGGAAGTGATTAGAGCGAGCCCCAGGTGGCGTAGAAGAACCTGCCTCATCCTCTGCCCGCATCAGACCTGGGCGTGAGGCAGACCCAACAGCAAACAGCTGCAGGAGACCCGACCTTGTTTCTGGAGAACCTGTGAGCCTGGCACTTGAGTGGAGGCATCCGGGCCTCGCTCACCCGCTGCACCCTTCCCCGTTCCCTCAGTAGCAGCACTTGGCGTTTACGGAAGGTCCAGCTTGTGATTGAGGGAGACGGGAAGGTCCAAGAGCTTTAGATCTTGGATGGGGATTCCAACTGGCTATGCCCGGTTTTCCCGGAACAAGGCAGCTCTTGTGAGGGAGAAGGAGGGTTCCAGGAGCAGGGACCCCACCTAAGACGCCAGTCAGTTGGTCCCAGACCTCAGTAGAGATCCAGAGTGAAGGGGAAGGGACAAAGACTTGCTCAGCCCGAAGCAGTTTGGGTCCTGCTGCCAGAACCACGTTCATAGCCAGATTCTGGCAAACTGGGTGATGGTGGACGTATTTGGCCAGCTTTCAGGAGGGATGTCAGCTGTGGCTGGGAGAGGAGGGTAGGGTAACAGGAACCGAAGGCTGCTTGTTGGAGAGCTGTGGGGCATCATGTGGAAGGAAGGGCTTAGCAGCCACAGAGGAGCAAACTGCCGCCTCCATCCCTTCATCTTTCCTCCGCTCCCAGATTCTCAGCGGCTGGCTCACTACAGCACAGCCAGCGCCATCCCTCTGTCCTGATCTGATAGAATCTGAGATGGAACTGCAGGAAAGGTCTTTAAGGCTTACCTATTTGTGCTCTGGTTAAAGATGGGACTGGGATAGGGTGGGAAGGAAATGGGTCTTCTTTCATTTACCTGCTCCTACTCACGCATTTTGTTATGGGAGAAATAAGAGTAGACATTGAATCACTTGATGGCCCAGGCAGCTGTTTTCTGCTTTGACAACAGATAAGTCAGAACCAGTTTGTTGTTTTTAATCAAAAGATAATGTTTGAGGGGCTCCTGGGTGGCTCAGCGGGTTAAGCCTCTGCCTTCGGCTCAGGTCATGATCCCAGGGTCCTGGGATCGAGCCCCTTGTCGGGCTCTCTGCTCAGCAGGGAACCTGCTTCCCTTCCTCTCTCTGCCTGCCTCTCTGCCTACTTGTGATCTCTTTCTGTCAAATAAATAAATAAATAAATCTTTAAAAAGAAATAATGTTTGAGAGCCTGAAACAGTTAAAGCAAACTCCTTTCCCCCCCACTTTGGAAAATACCAGCCCTTAAAACCCCACCCTTTTTTTCAGAAACTAGTAGGATTCTCTGGTTTATAATGACCATTATAACTTGAAATATTTTCGCTCAGCATCGGTTTTAATGAAAGCATTATGTTCCATTCCTTGACTTTTCCTAATTTGTTTATTTAGTGTACTGTGTTGTTTACATTTTTCTGTTTTTAGAGCATACATTGTTAGTAAATCAGGAGAAAACAAAAAATTTTTTAAAGATTTTATTTTTAAGTAATTTCTACACCCAACATGGGGCTCTAACCTACAACCCCAAGATCAAGAGTTGGTTGCCCCACCAGTTGAGCCAGCCAGATGACCTGAAAACAAATGTTTTTGTGTTTAAAAACTAGTGTGTCCAAGCACTATGGAACTGTGCATGGGCTGTTCCCTCCCTTCCTGTCCTCCTTCTTGTCCTTTCTCAAGGCATCTCCGCTTCAGGGGTGTTTTGCCCGCAGCTGTGTGGAGTTTTTCAGGCTGACGGCATCTGTCATGTTGGTTCTTTCCTTCTCAGGTGTACCCTCACGGTTATCCACACTCTTCAGGGCCAGCAGAAGATGATCACATCCCAGGTGAGCTGTTCACTTGTTCACAGTTTTGCCTAACAGTGATTGTTATATGTAAGGTTTATAAAATGTCTGTACCTTCATATGAAATAGTAGAAATGAAATAGTGGAAATCAGGGAAAATGCAGAGCACAGGTCAACAGATCACAGTACATGGGCCAAATACAGCCTGCTGCTTATTTTTCTGTGGCCCACAAACTATGAACTTTTAGGTGGTTGAGAAACAAATCAAGAGTAGTAGTTTGTGATGGGAAATTGTATGAAATTCAGATTTCAGGGTCTATATAAAGTTTTATTGGGACCCAGCCATGCTCATTCATTTGTGGTTGTGGCTGGTTTCCTATTATAGGGGTAGAGCTGAGTGGTTGTGACAGAGACTGTGTAGCTTGGCAAGCCTGAAATATTGATTACGTGGCCATTTGCCAGAACTGTTTGCAGTTTGCTGACCTCTACTACAGTAGGGCAAAGAGGCCTTGTAGATAAATGATCGCATCTTGTGATCTTACTGAGTTTTGAAACCAGAACGTAAGAAAGTTTTTTGATAAGCTTCATTTGGTGGCATTATGTACCTTCCAGTGACAGTCCTGCAATGATAAAAAGAAGTGGTGGGTATAGAGTAATTCTTGTCCAGTTCAGAGGAAAAGTTGAATTGCACATGAATTGTGCCAGCATTAGGGCTCATGGCTGTCAAAGGAGCAAGTTTGGGCAGACCACAGTGATCCAGGGTAATCAGTAGGATGAGATAGGCTTTGTGACAGTCCTGGGGATTGGGCAGTATCTAAATTTTTGCAGTCTGGTGAGTGACTCTCCTCTTTCAATTGTGGTAGAATACACGACACAAAATTCACACTTGAACCTTTTTAAATTGTAGAACTCAGTTGCACTTAACACACTCACCACGTTGTGCAACTGTAACCACCCTCTCCTTCCAGAATAGTTTCATCACACCAAAAGGAAACCTTATACCTTTAATGAGCAGTGCCATAATTAATGAGCAAATTACTCCCCCGTCTCCCCAGCCTCTAGCAACCACTAATCTGCTTTCTGCTTATGGATTTGTCTATTCTGGATATCCCATATAAATGGAATAATACAATATGAAATCTGTAATGTGTGGCTTCTCTCACTTAATGTTTTGATACCCATCCATGTCGTAGCATGTACTGCTACTTTTTTTTAATGGCTGAATGATACTCCACTGATGTGTAGTCCACCTTTTGTGTATCCATCAGTTGGTGGGCATTTGGAGTGATTCCATGTTTGGGTATTGAGAACAGTGCTGCTATGAACATTCATGTACAAGTTTTTGTTTGGAAGACCTATTTCACTTCTTTTCTGGAAGTAAAATTGATGGGTCATTCTGTATTTATTGTGAAACCACCAAACTCTTCTACAGCAAGATCCCTTGCAAGTCCATATGAATTTTAGGTTAACCTTTGTATTTCTGCAAAGAAAAGGCTATTGAGATTTTAGTAAGGATTGCATTGAATCTGTGCATCATTTGGGGGAATATTGTCATTTTAACAGTATTAGGTTTTACAGTCCGTGAACGTGAGGTGTTTTTCCATTTACTTAGGTCGTCTTCAGTTTCTTTCAGCAGTGTTTTGTAGTTTTTCAGTGTGCAAAGCTTACGCATCCTTGCTTAAATTTATTCTTAAGTATTCTTTTAGATGCTATTATAATGAAACCGTTTTCTTAATTCAACTCTAATTTCTCTTTCAACTTAGTTGAAAGCAAGTAAGTGAAAACTGCTTGATTCGAAAAGGAGATGTTATCCATTCTCACTCACCATCCATTTCTTCCTTTAATGTCTTGGGGGTTTTTGGGTTTTGGGTTTTGGGGGTGTTGCACCTTAGTAAGATTTTCCATATTCTTCGTGAGCATAATTATTTGGTAAGGAATATATAACTAGACATTTTGGGCCTAATATGAAATGCTCTGTCCTTTATATTGAGAATTTAATCTGTTCTCATTTTGTTGTGGTTACTGATCCATGCTTTTAGCTCCTTCATCTTTCATTGTAATTTTATTCTCCACACTTTGTTCTTATGTTTTTTTTTTTTTTAAAGACTTTATTTGACAGAGAGAGATCACAAGTGGTCAGAGAGGCAAGCAGAGAGAGAGAGGAGGAAGCAGGCTCCCTGCAGAGCAGAGAGCCCGATGTGGGACTCGATCCCAGGACCCCGAGATCATGACCTGAGCCGAAGGCAGAGGCTCAACCCACTGAGCCACCCAGGTGCCCCTGTTCTTATGTCTTTAAAAAAGTTTGCTGAGGTGAAATTCACATACAAAAGTAACTCTTTTAAAGTGACCAAATGAGTTCAGTGGCACTTAGTACATTCAGAGTGTTATGCAACCACTACCTTAATTGAGTTTCAGAATATTCCCATCATTCTAAATAAAGCCTGTTACTCATTAAGGAGTTTCTCCCCATTCTCTTATTCATCCAGTCCCTGGCAGCGAGCTGTTTGTGTTCTGTCTCTATGGACTGATCTGTTCTGAGTATTTCCTATAAATGGAGTCATTCAGTTTATGGGCATTTGTGTCTAGCTTCCTTCACTTAGCATGTTGTCAAGGTTCATCCATGTTGTAGTACTTATCAGTACATTTTCGCTTTTTTTTCTTATTTATTGTGGTAAAATACAATATAATATAAAATTTACCATCTTAAACATTTTAAAGTGTATGCTTCAGTGGTGTTAAGTGTATTCACATTCTTGTGCTTCTGTCACTCCATTCATCCCCATAGTCTTTCATCTTGTAAAACTAAAATTCTGTACCTATTAAACAATTACTCCCCTCTGGGAACTCCTATGATACTTCCTGATTCTGTAATTCTGACTACCCTAAGTACCTCATATAAGTGGAATCCTGTAGTATTTGTCCTTGTGTGACTGCCTTATTTGACTTAGCATGAATCTTGAAGATTCATCCATGTTGTAGCATACTGCAGACTTTTTTCCATTTTTAAGGCTGAGTGATATCCCATTGTATGTATATATACATTTTGCTTATCCATTCATCTGTCCATGGACACTTGAGTTGTTCCGTGTTTTAGCTATTATGAATAACAATGCTGCTATGAAAATGAGTGTACAGACATCTTTTTGAGACCTTCTTTTGGATTTGTTCTTTTTCAAGATTGTTGTGGATATTCAGGTTTCTTTAGATTCTGTATGAATTTTAGTATGAAATATTTTTTTAAGATTTTATTTATTGATTTGACAGAGATCACAAGTAGGCGGAGAGGCAGGCAGAGAGAGAAAGGGGGAAGCAGGCTTTCCACCGAGCAGAGAGCCTGATGCAGGGCTTGATCCCAGGACCCTCGGATCATGACCCGAGCCAAAGGCAGAGGCTTTAACCCACTGAGTCACCCAGGCACCCTAGGATGAATATTTTTCATTTATGCAAAAAATATTATTGGAATTTTGCGAGAGATTTCATTGAATCTGTTGATTGCCTTGAGTAATATTGACATCTTAACAATAAGTTTCCTAATCCATGCACATGGGATGTGTTTCCATTTATTTATGTCGTCTTTAATGTCTTTTAGCACTGTTTTATAGTTTTCATTGTGCAAATCTTTTACATCTTTGATTACATTAATTCCTAAAATTTCTTTTGATGCTTTTGTAAATGGATGGGATTGGGAGGGAGACAAACCATAAGTGACTCTTAATCTCACAAAACAAACTGAGGGTTGATGGGGGGAGGAGGTTGGGAGGGGGGGTGGGATTATGGACATTGGGGAGGGTATGTGCTATGGTGAGTGCTGTGAAGTGTGTAAACCTGGCGATTCACAGACCTGTACCCCTGGGGATAAAAATATACGTTTATAAAAAATAAAATTAAAAAAAAATGAGTTGATGAGTTCTTTATATATTTTGAATATCATTCCCTTATTAGATACATTACTTGGAAATATTTTCTCCTATTCAGTAAGTTGCCTTTCCATTTTGTTGATGATTTTTCTTTGGTGTATAAAAATTTTAGTTATGATGTAGTCCCATTTATTTACTCTTTCTTTTGTTGCTTTTCCTTTTGGTGTCAAATCTAAAATCATTGTCTAGACCTGTGTCAAGGAGCTTACCACCTGTGTTTTTTCTAGAGTTTCATGTTTCCATATTTTCCTGTTTCTTTGTATGCCTTGTGATTTTTTTGATTGACCACTGGGCATTTGACTCTAATAATGTGGTAACTCTGGAAATCAGATTCTTCCCATTCTGCAATGTTTGCCATATTTTCTTACTGATTTTGTTTATTTTCATTTATCTTTTGATTGTTGTAGGCTGTCTCTGTGCCAAGGATCTGCCTGATGTGTAAACTTAACTTCTTCTTAGTGTTTTCTGAGCCTGTCCTTGGGTATGCACCCTCACTTTCTGATTCTCCTAGTATTTGCAGTTGCTTTTTAATGTCTTGGTCTTCAGTGTCTGGTTCCTAAAGGGGGAAAGGCAAAGAAAGAAGGAGGAGAAAATGAAAAGGGGAAAACACAAACTGAAGGGGACTTGCAGCAACTGGGGAAATGCACTAAGTGGCTGTGTGCCTCTTTGCACCCGTGTGATCAGAGGCAATGTTCCTCAGGGCACGAGAACTTGCACAGAACCCCTTTATGAATCGTGTCTTTGTTGCATGTGTTTATGGTGTGGATCCTTTAAGTCCTATGGTAGCTATGTTTTCGTATGTTTCCTTATGAGAATAACTTCTTTAAGACCAGGAAGAGTATTTTATTAAACTTGGAATTCTCAGAGACTAGGGCAGTTACAGGTACATGTGGGCACTCAGATTTTTTTGTATTAAATAACAAAGTAATTCACCAATGGTATTTCTATTATGATCTTTTTTTTTTTTAAACTCACAAAGCATAACACAAAAGAAGCTCTATAGTAGAGGTCCTTAGTAACATTTTCTGGCCAGTTTTCAACAGTGAAAAATGGTAAGAATTGGTCTTTGCAGTCAAATGCTCTACCACTGAGCTATACCTCCAAGAATTGGTCTTTGAACTTCTTTTTTTCCTATCACTTGATTTTGACCACTTCAGACTGAGCAGAAATGTGCTTTTCCAGGGATCATTGTCATTCAGGGATGTGACTGTGGGCTTCACTCAGGAGGAGTGGCAGCACCTGGACCCTGCTCAGAGGACCCTGTACAGGGATGTGATGCTGGAGAACTATAGCCACCTTGTCTCAGTGGGTAGGTAGTGTTTGTTTCTCACGTAGACCCCCAGTATGTGTGTCTTTTTTATTTACAGAAACTTGCAGAGTTTTTGGAATATAATATTTAGTTTTGAAATTTGGAGGTCAAGGATGACCTTTTAATTATCCGAAGGGATTTTTCTTTTCCCTCATAACAGGGATTAATTTTTTTTATTGTATGGTCTTTGAGTTATAATGTCCTCCGCCTTCAGAGGCCCTGAAACTCATCCAGTTTGTCCCAAGTCAGACACTTCTCATTCACAGGGTATTCCATCCCTAAACCAGAAGTGATCCTCAAGTTGGAGCAAGGAGAGGAGCCGTGGATATTAGAAGAGTTCCTGAGCCAGAATGACCCAGGTGAGTGAGTATGTATGAGCCAGATGGAGTTTAGGAGGAAATTAGATCACAGAGCCTTAGTTCAGAGCTTTAAGGCCATTGAAATGGTCTTTAAGAATCACTTTTTAGAGGCTCTGGACCTTTGAAAGTAGCATGTTGATGTGACTCAAATATTCAGTGTCACTCAATCATCCAGTATCTCCCAGTGTCACTTTTATACACAATGTTATCTTTGTTTTCCTCCTTAGGAATAAATTATATAGAGTTAAATACACAGATCTTAAGTATACACATGTACTATAAATATGTGTGTATATGCAATATACGTATACACACACTGTGTGTGTGTGTGTGTGTGTGTGTGTGTATATAGTATCTGCCTGCTTTGATTCAGTATTATGTCTATGAAAAATATTCACATTGTGTTTATTATTAGTTTATTGCTTTATATTGCTGTGTAGCATTCCACTGTTACTATCACAGAGTTTATGTCTTTATTATGTTATTGAAACATATTTAAGATACATATTTGAAACATATTTGTTTTGAAACATACTTGTTTTGAGTTTGAGGTTTTTGAAAAACATTTATAAAAATTATTGTGTGTGTCCTTCTGAGGAGGATGTAAACTCTGTTAGATGTGTGACCAGAAATGGACTTGCTGGGTAGAGTGATCACGTACTTAGCTTTACAACACCTTTTAGCGTAAATAATTTTCCGAAGAGGTTGTACTAAATTATATTGTCACTAGCAATGTATGAGAGCTTTAATTGCCATTTATTGTTGTGAGCACTTGGTATTGTCAGTCTAATTTAGCCATTTTAGTCATTTTGTTGTGTTATCTCATTAGGCTTTAATTCCCATTTCTCTGATGACTCATGTTGAGCATCTTTTCATATGTTTGTTGGCTATTTGGATCTTCTTTAGCAAAGGTAACCGTTCAGGTCTTTTGCCTATATTTTATTGGACCATTAGTCTTTTTCTATTGAATTATAGAAGTTTTAAAATAGATTCCAAATATGAATCTTTGAATTATAGAAGTTTTAAAATAGATTCCAAATATGAATCTTTGGCAAATGTATGTATTGACAGTACCTTTTCTCAATTATATAAGCCTTGTCTTACCATTTTCTTGATGACTTCTGATGACAGTTAAAAAGACTGTCCTTTCTCCTGCTGAATCATGGTTTTATCTTTGTCATTTATCAGGTTAACATATATTTGTGATTTTGTTTCTGGGCTTTCTGTTTTGCTCTATTGGCTGTCTTTTTTTTTTTTTTTTTAATTTGAGAGAGAGACAGAGTGAGAGAGCATGAGAGGGGAGGTCAGAGGGAGAAGCAGACTCCCCATGGAGCTGGGAGCCTGATGTGGGACTTGATCCCAGGAGTCCGGGATCATGACCTGAGTTGAAGGCAGTTGCTTAACCAACGGAGCCACCCAGGTGCCCCTATTGGCTGTCTTATAAAGGTTCCATTTATCCGTCTTCTTGACAGTACCATTATCTTTTATCTTTATAATTTAATTATAAGTCATGACATCTGGCAGTGTTAGCCTTGTAGCTTTGCTGTTTTCTTCAGGGTTGCTTGGCTATAGTATGAATACAGAATGTTGCCAAGAATATCTTTAATCTACAAAATATATTAAAATAATTTCTATGTTTCCAGATATTATGGACAGTGCTATGGTGCTGTGAACTTTTACATTTTCATATAAATTTTAGAATCAGCTTGTCAGTTTCCACAAATACACACACACACACACACACACACACACACACCCCCATACCCCTATACCTCCTCTTTTAGGGCTTTTATTGGGGTTGCAGTGATCATTTTGGAGAGAATTGGCATCTAATTCTAGTGTATAGAAAAATTGGTATTCGCACACTGGCTTTGTATCCTGCAGTTGTGCTAAGTTTACTTATTCTGATAGTTATTTTATAGTTTTTAAAAAATTTTTTAGGTCAATAATTGTGTTGTCTATGCATAAAGACAAGTTTACTTCTTCCTAATTTTGTACTGGCTAAGAATGCCAGTAGCATGTTGTATAGAAGTGGTGAAGATGAACATCTTTGTCTTGTTTTTGAATTCAGGAAGAAACTATTGAGTATTTTAAAATTAATTTTGATTTTAACTGAAGGATTTCTATAAATGTGCCTTATCATTTTTAGGAAGTTCTCTTCTATTCCTAGTTTGCTAAGGGGGTTTTTGTTTTTAAAGATTTATTTATCCTAGAGAGAGAGAGAGAGAGCACGTGCATGGTGGGGATGCTTAACTTACTGTGCCACTGAAGTGCTCCCCCTTATTGTTTTTTTTTTTTTTTTTTGAATCATGAATGAGTATATTGTCAAAAGTTTTCTCTGCATATATTGAGATAATCATGATTTTTCATATTTATCCTGTTAATATGGTGAGTAATCTTGATTAATTTTCCAACATTAAGCCAACCTGATATGTCTGAAATACATTCTCCGTCATAATGTATTTTGCTCTCATAATCTCTGAATTTGGCTTTTTACTAGTTTATGTAGGATTTTTCTGTGTGTGTGTGTGTGTGTGTGTTCGTAAGACCTATTATCCTGTAATTAGCCTTTGTTGTAATGTTTTCAGGTTTGGAGTTGAAGACTGTTCTAATTTTGGGGGCACCTGGTTGGCTCAGTCATTAGGTGTCTGCCTTCAGCTCAGGTCATGATCCCAGGGTCTTGGGATCGAGCCCCGCATTGGGCTCTGTGCTCAGCGGGAAGCCTGCTTCTTCCTCCCCCACCATCTCTGCTTATGTTCCCTCTCTTACTGTGCCTCTCTCTGTCAAATACATAAATAAATAAAATATTTAAAAGAAAGAAAGATTGTACTATCTCCATAAGATGAGTTGAGCAGCATTTCACACTTTTCTATTCTGTGGATGATATTATGTGAGATTATGTTATTCTTTAATGTTTGGAAGATTTCACCTGTGAAGTTTCTGGGGTCTGAGGTTATCTTTTGGTGGAGATTTTAAATTTCAGACTGTTAAATTTTTAGTATTTATCTTTGTTAATTTTACCATAAGTACAACACATGAGATTTTTGGAACAGAGCAGATGAATTAGTATTTACTTAAAACTAAGTAACAACTTTGTGGTTCCAGTGTACCTCAGTTCCTTACTCTTGGAGCAATGAGATAGAAAGCAGGTGTTCTACACATATATACAAAATTGGTATTTTGGGTGAAAAATACTGATAAAATGAATCTGGGTGTTTCTATAGAAGAGAGAGTTAGTTGTCCCCCTACCATTTTAAAAGGAGGGAGGAAAACCTTGGAAAGGATCCTGAGTTCACACTTTACCCTTTGGACTATGAGTAAATTTCTTCGGAGGAGAGAGAAGACCAGTGTCTCCAGCCTTATACCCACGATGTCACCAGGACTCCTGGTTTCGGTACCCCCACTGAAATGTGAGTCTCTCTGGAGTCTGTCCCTATCTAATTAGTCATAAATTACTTTCCAAGCCTCATTATTTTACCTTAAGCTCCAAGTTTTATTTAAATTTGCTTAAAAAGTCCTAGCTTTGCAGAAACATAAAATTTATTTTCCCTACAGTCCCACACAACCACTCATTTTATTTCCGATTTCTGGCCAGTTTTTCTGTGTACATGCCACTCCTCAGTCATTGTGGTTTAGTCTTTAACCACCAAGATGTGTCTTAGAAAGCTAGATGCTCTTCAGGTATTTCCGTTTGCCTTTTTACCTGGCCCAGGGCGCCAAACCAGGGCCAGCAGTTTGTCTTAGCATTTTGCCCAGACTTTGCCGTGGCTTACAAGGAAGAAGTCTGTGACATATTTTGTTACCCATAGAGCTCTGGCCAGCCAGTTGAAGCTGACTTGAATGCCTTCCAGGCCGAGGCAGGGTCATGAAGTGTTGCAGCTCAAGACAGAAACAGATTCTGAACCACTTTCTAATAACCGTAGTATAGGTCAGCCTGCTCCCAGAGGGCATGTCCGAGGTCTGTTGCACTACTGGGTATTTCCTCAAATACTTGAAAGCTTCTGATCATCACCCCTGGTTGCAGATCACACTTAGATTGCAAATTAGTGGCTGATTTTCACACATGCACACACAAAAGCACAATCCCAGAGGGTACACCTGGAAAGAAAGATCTTTCAGTTGTTAGGAGTACCCCCCCACCCTGCCTCAAACCTGGCCCCTAGCATGACTTCTCACTGTATGGTGAGCTTTGGAATCCCCACCCCCACCAGTCCAAATCTTTGATTTTGTCATCTCTTCAGAGGGACTGCCTTAAGTCAGTCAGTTCCAAACAGTCCTGCTTGCCCATGATCCATTCCAACCGCCCCAGTTCTCTAAGGTGTGCATGACACCTCAAGGTGTTCCGCAGGGAAAAGGTAGGGACTGTTGTCTTCTGTCTTTTGATCAGAGCATCAAGCACGCATGAGAGAAGCAGCTGCCAGTTTGAATGCCTGGGATCTACTACAGTTTGTAGTTGGGCGAAGCAGGATGGATGGCAGTTAGGGAGAGCAGCAGAGGCATTTCTCCTCTGGGAGAGCTCCAAGGATAGGTTGGAAGGACGAAGATGAGCAACAACTCTGTCCCCATGTTGTTATAAAGGTTCACTTTCTCAGGTGTCAGAGTTTTTGCTTTACTTCCATTGTTAAAAATCTGTGTATCTTTTTTTTTTTTTTTTTTTAAGATTTCATTTATTTGATAGAGAGACACCCATAGAGGGAACACAAGCAGGGGGAGTAGGAGAGGGGGAAGCATGCTTCCTGCAGAGCAGGGAACCCGACCTGAGCCGAAGGTAGATGCTTAACAACTGAGCCACCCAGGTGCCCCAAAATCTGTGTATCTTATCGGTAACTGTAACTTCATGTTTTTCCAGTCATCTCTACTCTCCACCAGAACTTTCATCTCGAGGGTCTGAGTGCAAGGGAGACCAAAGCCCTTTAAAAGAAAAACATTTTTACACAGTTTAAACAGAACTAATTCTAATCCTTGAAACTGTTCTTTGGCCATCCTCTTGGCCTGGAGTT